TTTTCATCGTGTCTATTTATTGACCATACAAATGACAAGACGCTCAGCATGTGTTGCAGCTTGACGGAAAACAAAAAAATGCCAGTGATTATCGATTTTGTTCTGGCATGCTATTTATGTGTGATATAAGCAAGTATAAAATGTCGATGCTTATGATAATTCCAATACGTTTGTATGCAAGTCTAAATCAGGATCTGGGTTTGGTAATCATCTACACTCACATCAACATCCTAGTGAATCGGAAAATAGCTACTTGAATGAGTCCTTTTTAATGTTTCAAACTGATACACCCTTAAAGAGCACTTCGGGCTGTCAATAACAGGATAAGGGTTTGTTATTCTACGCTTGTTTCAGTGTATTTTAGTGTCGGTAATTTGTTTTTGCCGACAATTGAATGGAAAACGTATATTTGTTTCTCTGTCATTCCATCAATGACATGAAAGAACAAACAGTATCCTTCTTTCAGCTTAAGTCAATAGAGCGTCATTTTTGTTGACGACCGAACGTCACAAGGAATTTTTCCCTTTTATTATTTTATCAGTGGGAGTAGAGAACGAACGTCACTTTTTTTACAGTTTGAGTCGCTATAAAAACTTTTCATGGCAAAATCAAGTCGTCACTCTGCGCAGAGACACAGTTTTGGCAAGAAAAAGAGCAAGAAAAAGTATTAAAATCCTTCATGTCGGAAGACATTTTTCTTCTTGAAATATTTCCTGCAAATTTAATCGATGAATTCCGAGTTCCAGCTCAGAAGTCGGCTACTATCGAATTTTTACAATAGTATGATTGATAGTTTCGAGAATACCATAAAGCTATGGAAGTTTCCTTTTTTGTTGTTATAACTCAGCCAAGCCCATGTGAAAATTTTTTGATGTTAAAACGGGTCTAGCTGCAGTTCAGATACAAATTTGTTTTGCATTCAGACAAATTTGACATCAAAAATTCGTCCACTCATTCGGTTCGTGGAGCGGCTAAAAGTCATAAAAGCTAGTTGTTTTTTCTACTATTCACAACGATGAAACGGCAGAAAAGCGTTTAATTATGAAACTTCTTTGCCTCCACGAACTGTTTATTTTTTTCGATCATTTTGTTTGTTTCTCTAGCTTTTACTCACTAGTCCGAATTTTCAACTAATTTTATGTTTCTTATTAATAGAAAATATAGACAGAAAACATTCATGGGATAAAGAAGAAACAATATGTCATAGGTCAAACTAGTGTGTGCGTAGAAACACTCAGGACAGTAAGAATGAGCACTTTGAAGTTGAACGTATGAGCGTTGGTTGTGCTTTTCCATCGCAGCTAACCCCACTTTATGCGTGCTACTTATCATAGCAAGAACAGCGAGAGAGAGAGCAGGTAGATGAGAAGAGAAATTTGATAGAGAGAGAGTTTGGTGTCTAAATAAGACAATTTTGTCATCAAGTCTCGTTGTCATAGCTCACTTAAATATACCCTAAGGGCTTTCACCTTCGTCCACCACCCCCCTGCCCATTCTTTCCTAGGTTTCTCAAGAATAACTTGACCAAACATTATGAAACTTTTAGGATAGATAGATCTCGACTAGTAGAGTCAAAGTTATCACAAATTCAGAATTCTCAGATCCCTTCCTCTATAAGATGTAGGAAATGCAGGGGCCAAAAACGACCTGAAGTTTTATCCCTCATAAATAGCTAGAATTCATTTGTTACGGCTGAATTTGGTTTTCTAGTCACTAGGACCAAATCAGATTTTGTATACTTTTTTCCATTGAAAAATATTGTTTTCTTTGCTTAGGAGAACTAAATAACTCGAAGTCCTATAATAAAAAACGCATTTTTTCCCTTCAAGAAAATTTTGTAAGATCTTTCAAAAGCCGTCAGAGCATTATTCTAAGACAACAAAACTGTACACCCCGATTCGGCCATAGTTGTCACACAAAAAATTTCAGCTCAACTGATCAACTTGCCTGGAAGAAAAAGAGGCAAAACTTCAATATTTCTCTAGAAAAGTTACCTTAGAGAACAACGCGAGATAACATCAAACAAAATTTTTCGATAATTTGTGTTCTCCATTTCTTTTGTGCACAGCTATTAATTAACGCACTTGCAAAGCAGCTAGAGAGATGCATCGCTGGCCAACACATCACATTTTGATAATGAAATAACTACATTACTATAGATCATTTATAACACGATAGAGCTGTAGCATGTGATTTTTGTATGAAGCATCTCTAAAGTCAATTTTTTAAGGATCTAAATAAGCATGAAGACTTTTTGTTCATGTCCCATTCAATAAAGGGCACTTTAATATCGTTTGAGATACAAAAAGTTCGGCATAGAAAACAGTGAATTTTCGGGGTCGAGAAGGGAATCGCTCTCTAATAAAAAAGAGATGTCATACTGAACCATTTAGCGTTCTAGATTTGGGTACCATTTTCTGAATTTTGTAAGCTTCTAGCAAGATATAGTTCTATCTCGAACTTTCTTTTTTTTCTTCAAAAAACGTTCTACCCTGATAAAAAGAAGTCCATTCAACACATATATTCTAGGTACTGCTGACTAATTATATGCTCGAGTCATTGTTTTTATCTTTCACCTTCTATTCTTATACTTCACTCCTTATTTATTTTCTTACTTCAGAAATTCTATATATAATCCCTTAATTCTATGCTTAACCCATCAATTCTATGTTTAGCCGATCATTTCTAACGTAACCTCTTATACGTATGCTTAATTCCTTTTCTCTTTGTCTGATTCTTTATTTTTATAGTAGCCCCTATATGTTTGTCTAAACCATTGTGTCTATGCCTTATTCTTTCACGTACACCTGATTCTATATATCTGTATCTATCGGTTTATTCGCATGTGTTCACCTATATCTATGTTCATACTGATAGATCGACTCCGATGCTTGCATGTCTATTCATGTCTCTTGTGCCAATTAGTCTTTCTGTGGGTTATAGTGAAATTGAAGAAATACCGTATTCTCTACATTAACTTGAAGGTGATGAAAGCCAAATGAGACGAAGAAGGATATGCTCAAATGGTTTAAATCTGCTTGCTAAACAAGTATTATATCACACGAAAAAGATTTAGCAATAGTTTATGTCAATCCGGTCGAATAATCAAAGTCGCAAAAACTATGTCAAACTCATTATTGCAGTGATTCATGAAACCCAAACATAGTGAGTTGTTTAGCGTACAGAAACTGTTTCTGCCGACAAAATGCTCTATTATGAAGATCTGGAAGGAAAATTTTTTTTTTGCGAAAAATTCCGACTAAAGTGCGTTTGAGAAGTTCACTGCATCGCTCTTACTGCTGCGAAACGTGGAGAGATTTTTCTATGCAAACTATGAGATTACAAAACTTTTAGTGAGGTTTCGTACATTTATAGCATCGTCTCCAAGTATAGTCAATTTCTGAAAAACTTCAGAAGATTCATTTGGTACCTATTTTTTCAGTATAATTCAAGCGAGATGTGCTAGCATCATCGTTCTAAAAAAGAAATCAGCATTAAAAAATTGGTGCGTGACACAATTATTCTAAACACTTGGAACCTTCTTTTACATGTAATGATTCTTTCAATTATCTAGAATCTTTAATAATTTAGTAATTACCAAATGAAGTCTTAAAAAGTTCAGCATATTCCCTAAAACTCTCAACGGTACCTTATGACACCGTTTTTAACAAGAGTACCAAAAAGAAGTAGGTAAATAGTGAATAGCGATATAATAATTAGTCACGATCAAATGTGTAGTACGTGTAAGTCAAAATACATTTTATACCACTCATAAACGACACTCTTAATGGGGTCACTTTACGTGCAGACTCCATGAGATAAAAAATGATAATAATTAAATTTCTTTTTTCACTAAAGACACAGGTGCATAAAAAAATAAGGTTGACTATAATTCTTCAGACGTTTGTAAATTTCTACTTTTTTTATTTCATATAACATAAAAAATATGTCATTATATTCGAAGATGCGCCCGAAAACCTCTATTATATGTGACACTATTTTCGAACATTTCTTGTCATAATCTTTCAGAAAAATCCGGTATAAGTTTCGATGCGAACGTCGAAGTGTGCGTGTTATCGTAATATCGTTGTTAGATGTCGTGTGCAGTGTGAATGTTGGTGGAAAATCTTTATAATTATTTATTTGTCTATAGTTAATTCATTAGATTTTGTTTATTTATTTATTAAGATAATCATTCATAAATTCAAGTTCCACGACCGAAAAATAAAAAAGTATGTCAAAATGTTTGTGAGGGTGTATGACATTTCCCCCAGGGTTCTCAAACATATCTGTGACAGTCTTTTATAGTAAAAGAATCTACGACTTTCCAGTCGACGATTCGTTGAAAAACTGTTTACGATTTACAACGTTTTTTTCTCATCTAAAGCGGTTTTATCATGTTTCATATCCAAATTCTTTAGGAATTACAATGAAACCTTTTTTCTTTGATATGGTTTTCAAAAATTTTTCGACCATTAATTTTTCTGCCAATCACTATGCATCTTGCTTGTTCTGCATTTTAGCGACTTCAATGTTGTATCTAGCATGATTAGCACGATTTCTTCATCTATGCAGACCAATCCATCAACACCAATGTAGAGAATCATCTTTTCCCACCGGATTTCGATGACTACTTTTGGCACTCACTGAAAACATTTTTTCGATGATACCAAGAGAAATTTGTATTATGTATGGTTCATCGATAAACATTGGTCAAATCTTATTGTACTTAAAAACCAAACTGAAAATGATCGAATCACTGTGAATAGATCACGTCCTTAATTCGCATACATAGCAGTGATTTTATTCAACAAACATTATCAGTATTATTTCTTTGTGAATTGACTGAAGTGCGTTCGTTTTCTTCAGCTCTTTTATTGGATATTTGTAATGATTTCAAAAAAATCATTGTCGACCTTTTTTTCATGAGACGACACTTGATACGATGCTTTACCTAAGCTATCTAGTTTGGTTTTAGATATTTCGTTTGTACTTTCAGCATGAGTGTCAGTACTGCTGCATCGACATTATACAGTTCATCCAACAAGATATTTGTATTGAAAAATGCAAACTCATCCATTATTGAATTGGTCTCAGGCCAGCAAGCCCTCAAAGAACTAGAAAAAACCGATGATTTTGTCAATAATTTTAGTCAATTCGATTTAGAATCTCGTGTAAAGTTGTTGTCAGCAGTAGTGGAAGATTATTTTAAGTTTATTGCACAACATATATTGGTTTGGGATGAAGAATTAAGTCAAGTAATGGAGTCGTGCATTCAATTTATCAATACCACTTGTCTAGAAAAACTGAAATTATTAACTTATCCACCACGAATTTATGTTGTATTAACAAATGGGAACGATGAAAATAATGCTGCATATTGCCGCAATGAAAATGTTATTGTAATGCCATTAACAGTTATTCTTGATGGATCGATACGTAAAGTATTTACTCATGAACTATTTCATATTTGGAGTAAATGGCATAAGAATCTAACGATTCGTGATGAATTATATGCAAGTATTGGATACTATAAAATACCAGTGGAGAAGTCAATCAAATTTCCACCTAGTTTACAGCCGAGAAAAATAACTAATCCAGATGCACCATTTGTTTTAAAATACTATATTGAATTGAAAAAACTTGGCGATGAAAGTGAAAAAGCATACAAATGTACGCCGATTATACATGCTTCTCGAGCTTTTGATCCCAACTTTTCCACTAATTTCTTCGATTATCTAGTGGCAACAACTTTGATCTTACACGATACGACATATGAACCACTAGAACCATTACAGTATTTATCATACGCAGATACCAGTAATTTTTATGATCAAATTGGAGTTAATACAACTTACATTATCCATCCGGAAGAAATTCTAGCAGATAATTTTGTATTATGGATGATGAAGAAAGATCAATTAGCAACGTTGAAATCACCAACTGTTATTTCGAGGATGAATGATATCATTTGTACTGCTGCACAGGATACAAGCCAGTGATGCTCAAACGAGTAAATTTTTCAATTTAAGCAGTTTCGTCTTCTAATTAAAACTGACCTAATTCTATACACATTTTACTGTAGATTCATCTTTTCTTTAAACATGATTACTAATGAGTGTTGAAGGGTTTCGCAAAAATAGAGAATCCAACAGATTGTGACAGATTTCTCAACATACCCATTTTCTTCTTCAATCACATAAAACTTGGCTTTAGTCGTGTTTTTGGATGTCATTCATTGTTGCCTATACTGTCACAGCTTTTCATTTTCAAATGGTTGTACATTTAAGAGATCAATTAAAGCAAGTATCATTAGTATTTTGTTAGAATTTTCATTCACATGTTTTTTGAGAATGTTGTCTTTTCAGATATAAATTACGCTGTCAGATCTCTACATAGTGTTAACACACAATTCAAATTTCAATCATTTATACTTTGTTGTAAAGTTTATAAATTTAAAAAACAAACAAGTTCGAATATTAAAATCTTTGTGAATTACGCTGAGGAAGAATTAGACTTATCATGCAATTTCTTCTCATTATCACAGACAGTATATGATGATGAGAATAAGACATGTTCTGCATTCAAAGATTTAAAGAATATAGGATGTTTGGACTACTATTTCAAAAGCTCTTCTGGCAAGTAAAAACAAAGTCATCGAATATCTACGACACGCACATCGACAAAATGTACGAAAAAAAACTAAAGATTTTTTCTAAGACTTGATTTAATGGTGCAGTGTGTACAAGAGAGGAAAAAAGCAAGATTTCAGTTTTCTGAAGTATGAGTGAAGTACAAGTGAAATAGAGTGAAGTATGCACTCTTAAAGTCTCGCTTTTCCTCCTTGATTCTGTATGTTCTATGTTTTCAATAAGACTCGAGGAAATATCACAGACTCTTACTACAAATCATCTTCTTTCTTATTCTCTTATCAACAAGCTAATATCGGATGATCGATAATAAATGGTTAGATGTTGCTCCTTTCTTTGGGAAAGTTTGAAATGATTTCAAAATCTGCATCTAAGTTCACTTGGCAACGACTTTCGTTCTGGATTAAATAATCGATTCTGTTCTTTGAAACTATTTTGCTTGTTGATATAAAATTGATAAGACTAATATGCATTTGATCGGCCACGTCCGACAGTCAAAAACAAGAAAATTTGGTTAAAATTTTTAACAGAGACTTAGCTGACAGTGATTTAGCTAAAAGTTATGAATATGCCACGATATTTCACATAAAATTCTGCATCTTTTAGCATCTTTTCCAGAATCTTTTCCAGAATCTTAAAATAGATATCTAACGTGGAAACATTTGCAATCAAAAATTTGAAAATGCCGAAAAAAAAGTCCTTTTCAAACGTACTGATATGGGTTTTTCTTCTCCAATGCAAAGTAGCTAATAAGACTTTACTATTTCAGTGACAATTTAGCCCACTTTGTTCAGAATTTGAATTTTGCACTCGATGCTATCAGAATTATCATTTCACAGAATGAATGCGTCTCTCAAAAACATTATTTTCGATCGTGAACCGAAAAACAACAATAGACTTGAGTTTGGAATCTTCTCCTACTGGAGAATAATGTCAAGAATATTAGAAAAACCATAGATATATTGAACACCAAATCGATCATTTTATGTACAATATTTTATTTTTAAAAATTGTATGAATCAGCGTAGGCTTGCAGAAATAATTATATATAGAAAGAGAATAGAAAGTCACAAGCAGATAATTGAATAAATGTTGATCTTTTTTGAATATTTCACCGATAAGCAAAATATTTTTGAAAATTATAATCGACTGGTTTGTAGGAAAAAATCATACTCTGTCGATTAGGTTTACATATAGTTTTTAAAAAGAATTTAAACTTCCCCAAAGACAGAAATAAAAATCGGTCATTTCTTATGCGTCATCTGACGTTACACCGGTTATTCGAATTTCTTATTCATGTCAATATAGTGGTTGAGAAAAAATTCAATGATGAACAATGTCCAAGAACACATCTTGTTGTACATTGTCGTCAGCATCTTATGAAGCGTTCTATGTAAAAAAAAAAACAAGAGCGTATATTAATAAACTCTGCGAAAGAGGTAGCAACTGGTTGCAAATTCATATATCCAAAAAGAATTTATGGACATAGAAAATAGTCAAGGGGTATATGAATTTGCAACGGGTTACAAACTCTTATCAAGATTTATGTAATGGTAATAGACAAGCAGTCAGAGATTTATTATTCTACATATATTTTTTACAGTGTTGGCAAATGTATGTTCGTTCTAATTCAAATTTTCACAGGTTTCTAGTGACAATATAGCCTCTATATGGCTGAAGTTTCAGCTTGAAATTCAATCATTCACATTCGCAGAGATCTCATAAGTAAAATGTTCATGTCTCGACAAGAGACGACCGGAAGACCCAAGCAAACTGGAATACTACACTACATTGAAATACTAATTGAATTGGGATAGTCTCAAATGAACACCAATTTGATAGTTACAGACGTTCTCTTGTAAGTAGAGAATCGAATGAAAATGAAGAAATAAAGGAAAATGCATTAATCTCTTTTAATCAATGGTGTTTTTGTTAAATCAATCATAAAATGTTTTTGCATTACTCCATGATATTACAAATACCCTTTCAAATTAAAATTTATCTGCCTTATAGTTCTGTATTTTTTTCGTATCTAATAAAAAATTTCTCATGTACAATAATAGTGTATGTCGTTCTAAATTCCTGTTAAAATGATTTCTAAAATACTCGACAGATGGTGTTAATTATTGATTGATTAAGAAGAAAATATTCTTATTAGTGGTTCCGTGAAATACCAAAAAAATAGATTTATCTTTTTTTTTTTAGATTTCTTATTAGTATGAGTGATACAATCAATTTTCTTTGTTATAAAAAAATGGTTTATTGTTTATGGTGTGAATTTGAAAGATTTTCAAACAAAATAACGTACATTTAATCTGAAAATATTGAAAGACAGTTTATATTTATCATGCCATTTAAAAAGCCACGTATGTCAACCATTATGTTCTTTATATTCGTATGGCCTTGCTGAAAACTTTATATAAAAAAAGAAAATTTATGTTCTGATTGTATTCACCATTAACAGGAATGATAAGTCATACTGATGCTAAAAATCATTTACTATGTAAATGTTGTAAGTAATGCATATTATGTTCGTTTCGTAAAAAGTGAGACGAAAATCTTTTTCTTTATCATATCATCAACTTGAAAATCGAGTTCAAAAGATTCTTTATTATATACAAAATTGTGTATAATGTATTGAAATTCATTATGAATTATATTCAATTTGTATGTAATTATTATACAGAAATAATTTAATGAAAATACTTGGCGAATATCAACATCTTTTTCATTTAACTTGTACGGAGAAATGATTTAAAGGAGAAACTTGTTGTTCATGTTCTACGTATGCTTATCCAGTTCACAATGAACTAAGTAAAATAGAATTCTTCTTTTTTTTCTTTGAATGGCTTGTATTTAATTGCTCAGTATTTTATGATGAATGCGCAGTATGTTTTTATCACACGCTCAGTAGGTTTTGCTCATTAAAAATTAATTTTAGCTTGGTAAATAATTTGAAAAGTCCAGTAATTAATTTAAAAAGACTCAATGTTAGCGAGAGTTTCCATCGAACTGATTGATACTAAAAACTCTTTTACTTTTCCAAAGCAGTCGCTATATATGCTAACGAACTAGGAAGAAACTAAATAGAGTTGGAAGAAAATATGAACAAGAGGGAAAATATTTTAACAATATCAAAAGGAGATAACCTTTTGGAAAATACCTGAGGATAAAGAAAAGAAAAAAATGCATGTATGTATTTATATATATATGTATATGTCGTGCCGAAGTTATATTTTTTTTCGAAGTTATTTTCCATGATTTAATTATATGTCAGTTATCAAGAGATGACCATTATCATGTTAAAGCATATAGTTACCGTTGAGTTTTCAGCTCAACAATATTGATAGCTACATTTATCACAAAATATTTTGAAAAGCGTACAAATCTTAACAATAACAACCATTTATTTTCCTAATTCTTTTCTGTTTTCCACCCAGATCAATGGTTTTGGTTCCTGAAATCGTAGGCATTCAACAGAAACGTGCCTGAAAAATCGGGAAAATGATAGCAACTGGGAAGCAGAAGTCCGGTGGTCGGATCCAGTGACTAGATTCTTCTAGTTCCGACCAAAAACGACTGTAACTGAGCAAAATCGACTGCAGGATCTAGTCACTGATTTTCTGCTTCCAACTTCCTACCATTTTTCCGAGTTCTGTGGCAGGAAACAGCCTGAATGTCTTGATCGAAGATTCAAATGTGTGGGAGTGAGGCTGAACGTGGAGTGTGGGTGTGGATGTAGATGCATGCGTATGCATAGTAGTACATACCAGATATGGGGTCGGCTCTTGCTTTTTGGTAGTGAAGCGAAACTATTTATCTTTTAAAGCCTGTGAACTGAACCAAATCAGAACTGGAAGACAAATGAACGTGTATATTTTGAGATCGGATTTAGGTGAGATCGACTTTTGATTTTTCAGAACAGAACCGACTTAGTTGTTAAAAAGCTCGAATTGTGTCGATTTCGGTTTATTTCAGTTGCAAACCGAATTGCTGTCTTTTCTGGTGAACATGTTCGTGAGAATCTTCTCTTCAACATCACCCATACCCACGCAGCACATCGTCACATTTACACACACACTTTTGAACAGAAAATGAAAAAGTATTAGCAAAATAAAAAGATTTTGTTCTTAATGTTTTGTACACTTTTCAAAATACTTTTTAATAAATGTAGCTATCAACATTGTTGAGCTGAAAAATCAACTAAAACTATATGCTTTAGCATGATAATGGTCATCACTTGATAACTGACATGTAATTAAATTATGGAAAATAACTTCGAAAAAAATATAACTTTGAAACGACATACATATATATATAGTATGTTATCAGTACGATAGCAGAATAGAGAAAAAAAAGAAACATTACATATAAGTGAACTACACCATAACACTCAGTATTAAAGGGTGTGGGTATTGACCATTCTAACGGTAGCATACATACCCACATCCACGCTCACAGTGGTACACTACCAGGAGCGCTATCTGAAATTTTCAAATGGAGTGCATACCAGTAGGACAATAGTTTTGTATCTCACGAAAATAGTTCTTATCCGTGCCGCTTCCACATATCTTTCGATCAAAGGGAGTGCATGGGCATCCATTGCATCTTCCTGCCTATGCTCCTGCGCTTCACATCTCATACACTGTAAAAAATGGGCGTAGAATAATAAACCCTCAAAAAGGGTTTATGACCACGGCATAAACCCTTTTTGAGGATTTATTATTCTGCGCTCATTTTTTACAATGTAGCCACACTCTATACTCATACTCACACCCACATCTACATCCCACAGTCATATCCACGCACTGATGGTTTGATTTCTTTACTGATAATTTGTATACAATACTGAATGTTTAAAAAAAATGCTGAGCATTTAATTTGTTCCCTTTTTGAAATTATTATTTTTATTTGTGTTTAAGAATCCAAACGAATACATTTTGAGTCCTCAAACTCGTCAATCGATATGATTTAATTCAACTTTTTCTAATGAACTCTCATAAGTTATTTAGCTTTTTTGTTTTTTGTATTCATTCTATTTTTGTTGCTCTTTCCTAGTGAATATTGAGACCGATATATATTTATCAATATGTTAAAATGTTTTAGATGAGTTCAATTCATCCAGCTCCTCTTTTATCCAGTTTACCTTGCGAATGGTGTTCTCAACTAACACTTCGTGACCAATTCACAAAGTTTTGTCAGCATAAAGTTTGTAATCAATGTATTCTTATTGATAAACAATGTCGATCGGATTGTCCACTATGCTGGTATATAAATGCAGCACAATTTATACGTCAAAATAAAATCTGTTCTGGTAATTAGAAACAGCATCATTGCTAGAATAGATCATCAAAGTCTAAAACAGTAAAGATATTAATTCATTCTTTATGAAAATATATTAAATCGAAATTCATTTAAGATCTAATTTTATTCTTAATAAGACGAAGATAATTGTGAACATTTAAACAAAAAAATTATTTGCTAACAAATAAAAAAAGCCTAAATCTAGTTTGATTAATTCGAAAATTAATAAATTCTTTGAAAATTTTCATTCTGATTAATTTCAATAATCTATATTTAATGAATAAAATTGGGTTTTCTGATAGACAAAACTGACAATACATTCAATTTTAGTCTGTTGCAATGGAATTAATCCCTGTGATAAAACACTGGAATGCTCTCAACATCATCCGCACTGTCCTCAATGCTATATGCAAGGTTGCATTTTATGCCAATTTCGTAGACTAAGCACATGGAAGAACACCTCTTATCGTGATCTTCCAGCGACTTCTCAACGTATTCTTTATGTATGTCATATATGGGAAACGAAATTTGAAGAAGCCGAAAAATCGTTGATGAATAGTGATGTATCATTCAGTAAAGTAGATACATCGTTTATGGACATGGATAACAAACAACATGTCTCAGGTTAGTTCTTTTTACAATTGTATTTGAGATCAATAAAAAAAAAAATTTTCTTTTTACTTTTTCTTTCATTTTGTCCGAAAGATGGATAATATGAGTCATCAAATTTCTTTTTTCTTTTCCGTTAGAATAAAAAAAAAATATTTATTTTTCGATTAACAACAGGTAGAATGGGTGAGTCAATCTTGTTTTTTTAAATAAAGAAATTCTTGTATAGATTGTTTTCATTGAAATGAAAAGAATAATTGTCCTACTTTATTTTTAAATAGGTCCGATTCTGTCACTAGGGCATAAAAATAAGTCTCCAACAAAAGAAGAGACCACGGATTGTATGATATGCCTAGAAAAGTTGGGCTCATCATATCGTAAACTTGAAGTATGTGGTCATCTTTTTCATAAATTCTGCATCGAACAATGGTTTCAATCTAATGGAAAACAATCTTGTCCAAGTTGTGGACATGTCTATGGTATTAGTAAAGGTATCGTCAATAAATAAAGAAAAGTCTATTATAATAATAATTTCTATAATTGTTAAGGTCCTCAACCTGCTAATGGCCGCATGACAACCAAACTCATAAAAACACCATTACCAGGATTTGAAAATGAAAGCTATGGATACGAACGACCAACTATTGAAATAACTTATACATTTCCACCTGGTATTCAAGGTCCTCTTAATCCAAACCCTGATAGACCTTACCGTGGAACAACACGTTATGCTTATTTACCAAATAATAAAGAAGGAAAAGAAGTGTTACATTTATTACAAAAAGCATTTGACGATCAGCATATATTTACCATTGGAACATCAACAACCACCGGTCAAGATAATGTTATTACATGGAACGATATTCATCATAAAACAAATATTCAAGGTGGACCTGAGCGGTAAAAAAATATTCTTCTTGACTTTTTCTTTGAAATTCTTAATTTTTTTAGTTTTGGTTATCCAGATCCAACATATTTATTTCGTGTTCGCCAAGAACTTGCTGATAAAGGATACAAATAATCGTTTTTTTTTATTTATATTTTTGTATTAAACCTGATTTGAGTACAGCTACAGAGCAGAACGGCACTCCCCTTTATTCAACATATAAGAAAACAAGAAAAAATCTATTAGCATATGAATTTCATTATTATATTATAAATGCATCAAAGCTGATTGAATCTATTAATTAAGAGAATATTTCAACAATTTTATATAAGTCTATGATAAACGAAAATGAACAGAAATAAAGAGGAAACACGCTGCGGTAATGCATAAAAAGAAATGCCTCTCAATTAAAGTAAAAAAGGTGAAGTATTTGACAAGGAGTCTAATAGATTCAGTTGAACGGGGAAAGCCATATACGAAACTGTTACTTTCACCACACTTGCTTAACAAAAATCATTATGATTTAGGTCTCCTATGAGAATAAGAATGTTTTATTGAAAAATAATTATATAGAATAATCAATCGAACTGATTTGTTATGCTAAATTTATAAATGGTTTGTCGTCGAGTTCCCGTCTCCACATGAACTCTTATAAATAAGTTGATAATAAAGTTTGACGTATTTCACTTTCCTTTTTTTCGTTTCTCTTGACTTGCATCCAAATCTTTTCTGTATTCTGGGTATGCACATCAGTTATTCGTGTGACAAAACTGATGACCTGATTGACTGTTATATGAGAATAATCAGCATCATTTCCTAAAGGTCTATAAAGTCTCCATTCATCTGAATGTATTGTTGTATCTACAAGATATCATGTCATTTTTAGCTCATAAATTTTTCAAGTATTCAAATTATCAAGGTCTTCAATTTTAATATTCATACTATTTTAATTCAATTTGCATATAAATACCAATTATTTTTGTTATGCAAGTGCTGTCAAAATACCAGTTATATATATTTTTTTCCTTGTACAACAGAAATTATTCGACTTCTTATAAAAAGCTGCATCTTTTTTTATTTAAATGAGAGATATTTCTTTTTATGCATTATCGAAGCATATTTTCTTTTTATTTCTGTTCATATTCGTTCATCCTAGAATTATATAAAATTGTTCAAATACTCTCTTAATTAATAAATTCAATTAGTTTCGATAAATCATCCCCTGCCTAGGAGATTCTCTCAACATCAATTTGAACTGTTTTCATATGACATCTATATCTCATATTCTACGTTTAAAATGTAATGGTTAATTATATTCACCAATAGATTTTCTATTGTTCTGTATATGTTAAACAAAGTGGTGGGTGTCGTTCTTCTGCAGTTCTATCTTGATTTGTGATATATAAATACGTATGTATTGACAAAATGAAAGAATATTTTATTTTAGATAGTAATGGCTGCGTCTTATTGGAAAAGTTCTCAATTTGAACAATGGTTATTTGATCGTCAAGAATTGATGTCATTTCGTTTACGTGATATATCATCATGGTCTACAAACAATAACTCATCGTTAATAACAGAAGATGATTATTCAAAAATTCTTATTTTTTATTCAAATATAGTTCAGCATATAGGTGAACAATATAAAGTTCGTCAACAAGTTATAGCAACAGCAATTGTTTATTTAAAAAGATTTTATGCACGATATCCATTAAAAAGTATTGATCCATGGCTTCTTTGTCCAACTTGTTTATTTCTTGCTGCTAAAGTTGAAGAATTTTCGACACTTAATCATCCACGAGTTTGTAATGCAGCTGCAACAACTTATAAAAAATATGCACATTTACTAAGTAAGATTAAAATACATAATAAAGACATCTTTTGTTTTCTATTTATTAATAGTATAGTATATTATTTTTAACATGCTTTATGAGAATTATTTTGAGCAAATTAAGTTCGTACGTTTACGGCATTGAGATTTTTTGCTCTGTTTTTGGATAAATTTCTTTCTTTATTGCATCATTCTCGATGAAATGAAAGATAAAGAGTAAACGAAATTGAAATAGAGCACAAATAGTTGAGTATATATATACAAAGTTATTCACACTTAAATCTACAAATGATTTCAGCCTTTCTGCAATAAAGCGATCAAAGGAAAAAGAAATGATTAAGTCCTATTTTTGCTAATAAATATTTATTTATAGCTAAAAGAATAATTCGGTATTGATTTTGTTGTCATTCAGTGGAGCAGAATAAGATCTTACTTCAGTGACGAATCGAATTCATAAGAAAGAGAGATAAAATTCGTTGGATCTTGAGTCTAGACGTGATCGAATCCAAAGTTTTCCTATTGATTGGATCAAAGTCGAGATTAATATTCGATTCATACAATAAATTTAATTGAGTTGTTTTGGTTTTGTATTTCTATTCACTCAACTCAAAAATAAAGATTATAATTTATCAAGTTCATTTAAGAAAGACCGATTAAAATTTCAAAAAGCAGAAGTTTGAAGTTCGTTCGCATAAAGAAAAGGTCAAAACAAAAACAATAAGAAAATAATGAAGATGAAAATATTGAAAAGAAAAGTATTGAGAGAGAAAGTATTTATTTGACTCGATTTATCTTTTATTGTTTCTTCTCAAATGGATTCATTGTGTTAAATTTTGCTATGGTGACAGTCATTTAATGAGAAATTAAAATCAACATACAACGATGAACACAAAATTTTCGTTCATAAATGCTGTTTTTGTTTTATTTGATGTTCCAATCAAATTGTAGATTACTTCTAATAATTAAGATGAGGGTGACTACTGAATTTAATTTTCTCAAGAAATGATGATCAATATTGGAATTTATTATAGGAAATTGATTTGAGCAGCAATAATAATTAGGTAAGACGATTCATTTGAATAGTCAACGAACATGCTTTCTTTCGACATTTTGTTTCCAAACTCAATCATTACTAAAACCTAAAAAAAAAGCAATAATTTAGTTGCATTTATTGGAAGTCTATGAGGTAAACTGTTGGATGAAATTGATCTACCAATTTTGCTAGAATTTTATTTCAATTTAATTAAAAAAAAAAGAAATAAAACGATTGATTTAGATTTTTTTATGAAATGTGATTAAATAGTTGACGTAAAGTTTTATTTTAATTGTAGGTGGTCCAGGAGAATATCCATATCAAATAAAACATATTCTTGAGTGTGAATTTTATTTACTTGAAATAATGGATTGTTGCTTAATAATTTATCATCCATACCGTTCATTAGATATGTATACAAGAGAATTTCAAATTGATCAACCATTATTTGAAACATCATGGCGTATTATAAATGATTCATTAAAAACAGATGCTCCACTTTTATATCCACCATATGAAATAGCACTTGCTTGTCTTTTACTTGCTGCGACATATCGTGATAAAATGGCAATACTTAAACAATACATGATTGATGCACAAATTGATGTTGAAAGAGTTTATGAAGTTGTTAAACTTTTACTTAAATATTATGATTTAATGACAACATATGATGCTGATCCACCGAATGATGGAAAACAAATAAAAGATCTTTTATCGAAAATTCCAAAACCTAAAATAATTCCTAATGAATTATCACGTCCATCATCACAACCAAATGAACAACAAATTCAAGGAACAATTGGACAACAAAATAATAATAATAATAATAATAATAATAATAATAATAACAACAATAATAATAATAATAACAATAATAATAATAACAATAATAATTGAAATATGAAAATAATTCAGATAGAAAAATCAAATATTGATTTTGTTTTGTTTCTTTTTATAAAAGAAAAAAAGAAAATTTTTGAATAAATAAATATTAATTAGTCATTGTATATTGTACTTTAGATTGTTTCTCTTATATCTTAATTAATGTTATGGTTACTTCAAAAATGAGCCATTTATTGGCATCTTCATTCAATAATCGAAAAAAACTAGCAGATGGGGATTCTTCAACTACAACAGTAACAACAACAACAGCTCCCACGGTTTTTCAATCAAATTTAGCTTGTGTTTTAAATGATCCAAAAAAAGCGCGTGCAGAAATTTCAACATTTTTTACTAAAACATGGGGTTAGTTTTGTTTCTTTTTTATTTAAATAAATAAAAAACAAAATAATTCAATTTAAAGGTAATTCATTTGTTGATCGTTTACCTGATCCATTAACACGTCTTGGTGATTATAGTCTTAATGATTTTGAAACATATTTTAATAGTTTACGTAAAAGTGAAAAATATGGTCGACCACGTTTACGGCAGCTTTCATCAAATGACTCAAATGCTTCGCAAAAAACGAACTCAGTTATTAACATTCCACAATTATTTTTTTCACCACAGTTTACATTAAGTGATACATCAACATTTAATCTTGTTTTTCCAGGAATTATTCCAGTGAGTCGTCCATTATCTCCAATACATTTTGAACAACAAAAAACAAGAACCACATCAACAAGTAGTGACAAATCTGAAGGAACTTATAGAAGGCAGTCAACTTCTTCAACAAGTAATAACAAATCAATAACCAATGGAACTGTTAGGTTTGTTTTAATTATTTCATTCGAATATTAACTCGAGTTTGATCTATTTTCTTTTATAGACGAAAGCCTTTTTTTTAGTTTAATGAGAATGTCATACTCACTGTAAAAGAATTCGCTTTTCATCTTACAAAAATATACATTTTAATAAATGATTATTTATTTAATATATTTTTTAAAGCTAAAATTGAAAGCTCGATTATATTTATGCAAACAAAAATAAAGATCTGAAATCGGTTTAGGAAAATGCAATGAAATCTTCAAAAAATACATTTGTCTGTTTTCTATTAATTTTAAGTATCGGTTGAGTTGATTTCTGAACTAAAAAAAATATTTTCCTGAGATTTATTTTGCAAACAATGTTTCAACGATAATCATGATGTAATCTCATAAAATATTATTCATGTTTAATATAGTTTGTCGAACCCATCCTAGACCTGGGTCTCAATTCGAATTTAAATCAATATTCAATACACATTATAAATTTAATTGATTTTTTGGTAGCTATACTCATTTTACTGAAAAAGAATGCTGTAATATATTTGAAAAAAAAAGAACAAAAAAT